TCTGATAAGTGAAATATATTACATTGAAGGTTCAAATTTTAATTTCTGAGAGCAAGGGTAAGCATTTTGTTGTAAGAGCAGTTTGTGTTTCCTTTCTATAAAGTATTTGTCCATTTTTCTACTGGCTTGTTGATTTCTTGGAGCTCTTTGTAAGCTTTATAGTCTCTGTAATTAATGAGTTCCAAACATTTTTCCTAGTTTGTCTTTCATCTTTTAACTTTGTTTTTGGTGTGCTCTGTCATACAGAACTATTTTTGTTGTTCTTATATAGTTTAATTTTTAATGCTTCTATATTCTAAATCATAGCCAAAAATGACGTTCCCATGCAAAGGAATGTCCCATGTTTTCTTGTATACTTACTGTGGTTTCATTGCTTTTCCGTGGAAAGCTCTGATCCTTGTGTAGTTGATCCTGGTATAAATTCCACTTTACTTTTTTCCAGATGGCTCCCTGTTGTCCTACTACCACTTTTTGAATAGTCTATATTTTCCCCCATTGATTTGAGATCCCATCGTTGTCACAGACCAAATTCATGTTTATTTTACTTTTCTTCTCTTTTGGTCTACTTGTGTGCCATCATCATATTGTTGTAAATGTTGGCACTTTATAATCTGTGTAAATACAAATAGGGCTGGTAAGCCCCTCACTGCTCTTTTGTCAAGCTTGTCAGTGACTACCACTGATGAACATGTCCTTGTGAACTTGAGAATCTGACCTTGTTCCAGGATAGAAATAGTAAGAACAGTAACATTTATTGACTATTTTTATATAAAGAAGAAAAGTCTTGAAATCTTAGGCTATGTATAGTCAGGTGCTTCCTCAGAAAGTCTGGTCATTTCCCAGGCATACATATTGTATGTGCACTTGTATATCTATCATTAGCGTATAAGCCTCAGGAGCAGGAAAAAGAGCTTATCATTCCATTCCAGTTCTTATTACCATGTAGGAATTTGGTTCATGAAAGGAAACAAAAACTGGTAACTTTTTAATTATTTGTATAAATTATTTCTGTCATTTACATTGCTGATTATAATAGGATTTAACACCGTAAGTGACCACTTTTAGTCACTATATAAAGGAAGTCAGTGGTAGTGATTTACTATTTATGTTTAGCTTTTCACATTACTCTTTCCATTTTCATTGCACTTCAAAGACTCACTTAAATGGAGTTTCACATTTTGTGAACGTTCTACATTGTTGGGAGGCAAAGCTGAAGCCATAGTTATGAGGCTTAAAAATGGAGGACTGTGATAGATTACCTCCAGGTAACAGATTCATTTTAAGGGCTTTTATGCCTGCTTTCAGTAGTAAATCCTGTTCCCAGAGTGAATACTACTTTGCTGGAGAATCAGTCATTGGTCACTTTTAAGTGCCTAAACTTTTTGGCTAGTATTAAAATTTTCTTGAAGTACAACCATTTTATGACATCAATCATGGTGTTGATATATTTAAAGAATAACTATAAATTGCTAGAACTTATCATCCATTTTACCCAGATATAAGACAGGAGCCTTTCCTATTATGCCAGAGAGCTAAATGGGACTCTTAAATTTGAGGATGTTGAAATGTCTTAAATTTTGGCGGTTGCTCTGTAAAAGCTAGCTAATGTTTTCTGGTATATGTCTCTTCCGTGTGTCTAACTAACATACATCACAGATATTAAGGATGGATTATGCATATTTGAATCTGTCAGGATCCTCCAGATAAAGAATTTTGGAGGTCTTCTGACCCTGAAAAGAAGCTACCTGAAACTGTAGCTTGCTCATGGGCATGGTGGCAGAGTGAATGCCTGATCCAGTGCATTGCTCTTAATATGCTAGTGTGCCGCATTTTATTCTCTTTATACTTGAAATTTATAATTATTTCAGATTATTTTTCTTGACACGGGTGCCAAATGAAATTACACTTTTATAGTACACTTTACATTTTTTTTTGTATTATAAAAGTAACCATTCTGATATGTGAAGTATATTTTAATAACTGAATGAGGAGTGTGTCAGTCAGCCAAACTGAAACTTTCAGTTGGGTCTTTGTCATTTTGTAATTCTAAGAATATATAAGTTAGTAAGCTTCTTCCCTCTAAAATATAAGCTCCACAGGGCAGTGAATTTTGTTGGTTTTTCTTTCATTCACTGGCATAGCCTAAATGTATAAAAATAGCCTGACACATGTTAGGCATTGTATTAGTCTGGTCTCACACTACTAAGACATACCCAAGACTCAGTAATTTATGAAGAAAAGAGTTTTATTTGACTCACAGTTCAGCATAGCTAGGGAAGCCTTAGAAAACTTACCATCATGACAGAAGGGGAAACAAACGTTCTTCTTCACATGATGGCAGGAAGAAGTGCCAAGCAGAAGGGGAAAAACCCTCTTAATAAAACCATCAGATCGCGTGAAAACTCACATGTATCATGAGGGAAACATGGAGGTGCCTGTCCCCGTGATTGAATTACCTCCCACCGGATCCCTCCCACGACACATGGGGATCATGGGAACTACCATTCAAGATGAGATTTGGGTGGGGACATGGCCAAACCCTATCAGGCACTCACAGTATTTGTTGAATGATGATTAGAGTCTCAGACTCCCTGTATACAAATCCTAGCTCCTTCCTATTTACTGAGTCTGTAACCTTGGGCAAGTTATAGCATCCTTGTGTGCCTGTTCCCTTACTTTAGAATGGAGATAATAAACTACTAACCTTAGAATAGTCTTATAAGAAATGTGAAGTTCTTGGCACAATACTAATGGTTGCCATTGCTGTTCCTGAAGATTCAGAGCTACTTGATGTGCTCTTGGTAGTATTTTTTAAAATTCTGTAACTGGACTGTGACAATAATCTTACCATTAGATATTTAGTCTTAAAAGTGAAGGGCAACTTATTGGAGATTACCTGAAGGGTCTCATAGTCTGACTCCTCAGGCTTTAACCACTACCAGAGCACACAGTAGGAGGCCATCTCAAATCACCTTTGGCAGGGGTCCCCAAATCCTGGCCCACAGACCAGCACTGGTCTGTGGCCTGTTAGGAACCGGGCCACACAGCGGGTGGTGAGTGGTGAACAAGCAAGTGAAGCCAAGCTCCACCTCTTATCAGTGGCAGCACAGAGTCTTACAGGAGCACAAACCCTATTGTGAACCGCGCATATGACGGATCTAGATTGCATGCTTCTTATGAGAATGTAATGATGAATGTAATGCACTTGAATCATTCCAAAACCATCCTCCACCCCATCTTTGGAAAAATTGTTTTCCACGAGACTGGTCCCTGGTGCCAAAAAGGTTGGGGACGGCTGATCTTTGCATAGTCTCAAATATAAGGATTATATTAAGCCAGAAATGTTTCTCATTAAGGAATCCTTTGTTTTGAGCTGTAGGTCGTGTTTTAGAACAAGTCTGTCCTCTTCCATGTTGCAACTCCTAAAATATTTGAAAACAGGTATGTCCACTTGAGAGATAGCTCTGAACTGAACATCCCTGGTAATAAGACATTCCCTTTGATAATGAAAGTTCCCATATTTGAACAGCATGGAATAGAATAACATTGTCTCTCAGATTCTAGTCTTCTATTAAAACCGCAGTTACTTTTGCACCAAACTAACATAGCTAGAATAGGATTGGGGTAGTGGGTAAGTATAGGGTGTGAGTGGTGTAGCACATCATACAGTTGTGTAGCACAATTCCAGCTGTCAGCTCAGTCCCAAGTCCCTTTTATGTGTGCTGTGTTCCCATGTTTCCTGCAGATCTTACTCCTGCACTTGCAAGATCAAATGATTAGGTATGAAACATATGTAGGGTAAGTATTCAGCATATGAAAACATATCTAGTCATTTGATCTTGCAGGTGCAGGAGTAGGGTCTTCACTTGTTTTGTTAAATGTTACCTTGTTTTTCTTGTTCTGGTCTGTTATAAGTGCCTTTTGATCTACCTTATTCCTTTTCTTTCACTTTCATGTGTCATGTCACATGTCAATTAACATTTTATTTACAGTGAAATTACAAAGATTTGCACATATGTAGGTTTTGTTTTGAGAAAAATGTGGTAATTCTTTATATTCTGCTATACCTTGTTCTTTGATCACTTGCAGAGCATTCCTTGGTATAAACATATTCTAACGTATTTAATTCTATTTTTGATTGATGTTTAGGTTGTTTCCAATTTGTTGCTATTAGCACTGCTGCAGTGCACCCCTTCAGTAATATTTTTGTGTCCTACAGACCATTGCTTGTCTTTCAAAAATTGTGTGGTTATTTTTGCGGTTATTTTTCCAAACGAACTTTAAACTTATAAATTCCATTCTCACTGGTATTGCAATGAATATGTAATTTGAGGACTGACATCTTAACAATATTGAGTCTCCCCCTCAAATACTGAAATTCTACAGAAATTAAGTACAATTCACATTTGTATATGGACTTAGGCGTGGTTCTGTTTGGATTTCAGTTACAATTGGAGGTCATATATAATCGGTTTCCCCTTTCTTTGAGTTTTATGAAATGAGGAACTTCATCATGAAGTCTCAAGTGTATAAATATTTTATCCTTCTTGGGATTCTGTCACTTCTTATGTTTGCCCTTATAGTGATTCAGCTGGTTCTCATTTAAAGTTTTTACACAAAAACAGTTTGGATAATATTTTGAGGTTTTCACTTCAGATACTGGACAAGTAATTACTAGTATAAAGGCAACTAACATGGTCATAATAGAAGTATGGTGTTTACTCTTCACATTTATCTTCCCAAAGTTGTCTTCAGCATTGAAATTTTAATGTTTGACCTTTTTAAATAAGAATTAAGATTCTAGTTACTACTATATATTTGAAGGATATAGAAGCATGATTTCACACTTCATAGTCACATTATGGGATTATCTACAAAATTTTTTATCTTTTTAAAATTAGATGGTTTCCTAGGCCAAAATGATTTAGATGTTGCTCTTCCAGTATTAGAATCTTTATTCTGTGGGGTTTTCTAAGTGCCTTTTTTTGTTTTGTCTTCAGAGAAAGTTTCATTGTGCAAATCTAACTTCATGGCCTCGCTGGCTATATTCCTTATATGATGCTGTAAGTAACTTACCTTAAGTTTACTTTATATATGGTAGGCCATGTCATAACTAAGGGTCATGAAAAAACAAAGGTTTAGTTTTTCCAGTTTCTAGTGCCTTGTAACTTAAGAACAAAATATCCTAAGAGTGGTGGCTAACACCTGTAATCCCAGCACTTTGGAAGGCCAAGGCAGATGGATTGTTTGAAGCCAGGCATTCAAAACCAGCCTGGGCATCATGGTGAAACCCCATCTCTACAAATACAAAAATTAGCCGGGTGTGGTGGCATGCGGCTATAGTCCCAGCTGCTTGGGAGGCAGAGGTGGAAGGATTGATTGAGCCTGGGAGGTCAAGGCTGCAGTGAGCTGAGATTGTGTCGCTGTACTCCAGCCTGGACAACAGAGCAAAGACTCTGTCTTAAAAGAAAAAATTATCGTAAGACTTTTTTAGAGTTTTACTAAGCACGTGAAATTTTGTTGGGTTGGGTGATAGTTACATTTAGAACATGAAAGCATCCATCTATAACAGTTTTGGTTTTTCTCTAAACAAGTATATTAACTTACATCTCTTGATCATTAGTCTATTAAGTAATGCATCCATGAGGGGTTTTGCTCCTTAAAATTTAACACTAGGCATTGCCACATTTTGCAAAACTAAGTAAGGGACAGTGCTGAAATGGTTTAAAGAATCTGGATTTCAGATCAGAGACTGACTTCAGAGTCTGATGTCTGTCATTTACTCTGGGCCTGGAGCAAATTACTTCTCCAAGGACCTGTAAAATGGATATAGTGGTAGCTATTGTAGTTGGTGTGCATAGCGGGCATTCAATAAATGCTAGCCATTTCCCTTAATGAATCACTGCCCACTAATCTGGAGTCCTGGGAAAACTCAGCAGCATGCACAATACTAAAGGAAACTGCAGTTGATCTCTGCTTTTTAGCAGCTTTTAAACAATTACAAAGACACAATATATGAGTGTTTTTGCATATGTTTTGCATATGCTTGTGAAAATTACGTAGTAAATAGGTGCCAAGTAAGGTATGTAGATAGCAGTTGCTAGTGCAATTTATAGGTGCCATAATCCCTATGGACTGAGTCAGAAATGGCCTAATAGAAGGCAGAAGAGAGGCCAGTTCCAAGCAGGGGCATAGAACAGAGCAATGCACAAGGGAGTTGGGAGCACATAGGGCTGGGATAAGACAGTGAGTGAGAAAAGGCTGGAAGGCAGACTTAATGCTGGGCAAAGGAGCTGGAGCTTGATCATTGCTGCATAAGAAAATGGAGGCATTTAAACTGGGACTGAGATGGGACTGAGTGATTACTTAAATTGCTGCCTATGTGTTAGTTTTAAGAGTTGAAAAGCTTAATAGGAGATTTTAATAAGTCCATGAACTTGATTATTATACCTTTATTTTACCTTTATACCTTTATTTTAAACAAGATTATACCTTTATTTTAAACAAGGAAACCTTAATGGACAGAATCAAGAAACAGCTACGTGAATGGGATGAAAATCTAAAAGATGATTCTCTTCCTTCAAATCCAATAGGTATGAAGTTAGTTTACTGCCTGGGGCCTGGGATGTCTTGCTGTAAAAAAAATAGCTTTCTAATGGATGAAATCATATATTTTAGTTTTTTTTTTTTTTAGACTGATTAAAACATTTTAATTCTGAAAAGCATAACTTCCTTTGAGCAGTTAAAAAAAAAGAGTATTTCAAAATTAATTGCAGTAAAATCCTTATATTCTGTGAACACTCCAATTTCAGACAAATTGCAGGAAGTGGCTGTCATCCAAAAACACTTCCTGAGTGTGAGGATTCCTTTCTGTGTTCTTTAAGATGCCTTTAAAACAAGTGACTCTAGTTCCAGGACTTGCCGTAATTACATAAACTCTCTTCATCTGTTTATAAGGTATAGTTTAGTTATTTTTCTAGTCTCTTGGCAAATAACTTCTAACATGGATTTGAGTTCACGTTTAACGTAAAAGGATTTTACCCAAAAAAGTATAGGAAAAGAAGTTAAATTTAGAGCTTCTGAAAAGTATGTGTTCGACAGCTGGTATATTTTCATATTGTTTATACATGTATGAAATGTGTAACCTTATAGAGAAGGATTTATTTCAAAAGGACATTATCTGATTTGTAAGTTGTCTGATGCTTGTCTGACTCTTAAGTTTAAAACTTGAAAAACCATGTCTTGAAGATTTTTCTTACAGAGTAGCTGCTTGTCTTCCTATTGATGATGTATTGAGAATTCAGCTCCTTAAAATTGGCAGTGCTATCCAACGACTTCGCTGTGAATTAGACATTATGAATAAAGTGAGTAAAGTGAATATGTTTTTGATGACCATGTTTTATTCAGGCTGGAGAACTAGGATGCTCTGTTGGGTCCAATGGAGCTATAGATAAGTCCAGTAATGTAGTCATGCAATTCAGATTTCAATTGGGATCTTACAGATAAACTCAAATTGTTTTGTGTTTGTCAAATATGAATACATTTATCAACTTAGTGAAAAATACTTGATTTCTACATGGAAATATCCAAGGTTATATATCACTATTCTTTTACCCTAGAGAAGGTCATTTAGTTTTATGTAAATATGTGGCAGATCTCAGTTTCAGTGATTTTCTTGCTCCATCTTTTAAGTGTTTTTGAATGCTTGGAAGGAAAATGTGGTATTCAGAGAGGGCAATATCTTTATAAGTTTCTTGATCTATGTGATGACATGATAAAATGAATGCCAGTTTTTCCCAATTCTTCTCTCAAATTTTTTAGTGTTTCCCAATTCTTCTCTCAAATTTTTTAGTGTACTTCCCTTTGCTGTAAACAATGTCAAGAAACAGAAATAACAACCAAAAATGAAATATTCAGGTAAGGTCTTTATTACATTTTTAATATACTTGCCTTATCAGAATTACAATCAAGACTGTGTTTCTGTTTTCCATATACTTTCCTCCAATACCTAAAAGTTACAAACACTCAGCAAATGAAATATAGGGAATTAGTTCACTTTTGGTAAGACCATCTTCCAGATTGAGTACTCAGATCAACAATGCATGTCAGGGATTATTCACAGGTAATGAGCATGGTAAAGTAAAACAACTGAGCAATTCTTTTCCCCCTAATTCTATATATTAGACTGTCTTACAAATCTACATAATATATTGTCTTCAATTAGGCCCTAACATAGATGCCTCAGAAATTACATTTCAGTCATCAGTTTTGCCATATAGGGCCATAGTAGGACATGCTTCTGAACACTGATGCTCTGATATAACAGTGTTTGATGAATTTGTCATAAAATGATTTTCAGAGTTATAAATCAAGAAGGTAAGGAAACTGCTTTCTGCAAAATAATCAACTGCCCCAAAATGACCGCACAGGACCTTGTTATTGCACTTATACTCTCAGACTCCTTTAGAAGCATTTGAATTTTATATTCTTTACAATGTCTGTCTTGAGGAGGATTTTAAAAACAAGTACTATTTCCTTTGGGTCATCACAGAAAACACTTTGACGTTTAGACAAAACAGGCCTGTCTGCCAGCTGCACCCCCACCCCATTTTAATACTAAGATCCTGGTATTATGTAAAACTGAAAGATTAAAAACTATATAGCTCATACCTCATTTCTTGGTGAACTTCAGGAAAATTCTAAGCATTTAATAGAATTAGACTTCTCATTTTGACTTGTCCTCCATGTTGATTCTTTGTTTTAGTTTATCCTTATGTGGGCCGATGGCAGCTTATGTGAATCCTCATGGATATGTGCATGAGACACTTACTGTGTATAAAGCTTGCAACTTGAATCTGATAGGCCGGCCTTCTACGGAACACAGCTGGTTTCCTGGGTAATGTTATGGTGGTGGTTGCTTTTTTTTTTTTCTTTTTTTTTACCCTAATTGGGCAGAAAAATCCAGAGTCCTAAGCAGAGTTGCTACAATCTTTGTAATAAAAAGTAGACGAATGAGTAATTTTATACAAAAATTAGCCGGGTGTGGGGGCAGGGGTCTGTACTCCCAGCTACTCGGGAGGCTGAGGCACAAGAATCACTGGAACCTGGGAGGCAGAGTGTTGTAGTGAGCCAAGATTGAGCCACTACACTCCAGCCTAGCGACAGAGTGAGAATCTGTCTCAAAAAAAAAAAAAAAAGTAATTTTATTTAAATGTCCTTCATTCCACAAATAGCTAGAAACATGTTGCACTTTTTGTATCTTTTATATAGCATCATTGAATGAAAAGTTAAGAAAAGGTTGACAACTGCAGTTGTCCTCAAATTACTGTATCCAGTTAAATCCAAAATTGTTTTTTTCTGTCACATAATTCTGAAAATCAGCTGTTTTATGACCCAGTAAAACTTTATATCTGGACCATATTCTGTAGTAATGTAAAACCGGAGAATGTTTACAAAGCAATGATAGACTAAGAAGGTGCAGAACCCATTGAATCCTGCTTTTCTTCTGGTTTGCCTTTCGTTGTTGTTGGCTTCAGCTTAATGATTCTCAGAAGTATGATCCTGGGAACCTGCTCCCTTCCCTCAGCCGGACTATCTTCAACTATCTTCAGTTTTCAAAGAGGGATGCTAAGAAGGGATTACATGCTACTCTAGAGTTAGGACCATGTCACTTGGATTGCCCTATCTTATTTGGCACCGTATGTGAGGACTAAAACTAGAATACATTTGTTACTATAAATAGTAAATGTGGCATACTATACCTAGGGGAAAAAAAAAAAAAAAAAACAGTTGCAATTATGTGGTTTATCTTAAAAACAAAATGCCATGGTTTGTATTTCTGGTTGCATTATCTGACAATCATTCTTATTTTCAAGTATTTTTTGAGACGTGTCCTTCCTGGCCCATCCAGTTTTAACTCAGACAGAAGTGCCTATTTCTGCAGGTGGTTGCTGTTTTCTAACTTGGCTGCAATACAACACAACAACACAAGTTAGAATGTGGTCTTGGCAACCAGCAATTTGTATAAAGAAATTTGTAAGATTACTCTTTATTTCTATGCAGAAGAATGTGAACATGGCTTAAGAGCATAAAATTATATATAACAGACTGATGTATTACCATAGGATGTATCCAAATTAGAAAATGTTTTTAGGTTTCAGGGAACTGTATGGATCAAATCTCAACTTAGAATATCTCCTTATGCCTCTGAGGTCTGTCTTCATGATAGGTTTATATGATAGATAGGATAGGCTTGGAGTACAGAAGTGTTTCCTTAGCTGATATCTTTATTTTCTTAGGTATGCCTGGACTGTTGCCCAGTGTAAGATCTGTGCAAGCCATATTGGATGGAAGTTTACGGCCACCAAAAAAGACATGTCACCTCAAAAATTTTGGGGCTTAACGCGATCTGCTCTGTTGCCCACGATCCCAGACACCGAAGATGAAATAAGTCCAGACAAAGTAATACTTTGCTTGTAAACAGATGTGGTAGAGATAAAGTTATCTAACAAATTGGTTATATTCTAAAATCAGATCTGCTTTGGAAATTATTGCGTCTGATACATATCTAAGTAAACACAACATTACTTGGAGGGTTGCAGTTTCTAAGTATACTTTTGGAGAGCATGAACAGCAGTCTAGAATACTAGAAACATCTACTTGGGTAGCCTAGAACCATTATCCTGTGGAATCTGATATGTCTGGCAGCATGTCATTGATGGGACATGAAGACATGTTTGGAAATGAGATTATTTCCTGCGTAAAAAAAAATCTTAAATTCCTACAATGTGAAACGAATCATTTGATCCTGATGTATGGGACAGTGTATCTGTACCAGTGCTCTAAATGACAAAAGCTAGGGTGACAAGTACATGTTCCTTTTTGAAAGAAGCAAGGCAATGTATAATTCTAAAAGGGCTTTGTTCCTTTCCATTTTCTTTAGCTTCTCTGAGATACTGATTTGTAAATTTTGAAAATTAGTTAAAATATGCAGTTTTTTGAGCCCACGAATAGTTGTCATTTCCTTTATGTGCCTGTTAGTAAAAAATAGTATTGTGTATTTGCTCAGTATTTGAACTGTAAGCCCATTTATACTGTTCCATACAAAAGCTATTTTTCAAAAATTAATTTGAACCAAAACTACTATTACAGGGAAAATTTGCCAAAACATGTCCCCTCACACAGGCTACACGTGATACTGTATTTTGTTCAATGTAAATTGAAGAAAATCTGTAAGAAGAAAATCTGTAAGTAAACCTTAAATGTGAAACTAAACATGTTCTTTGTTCAAATAATATAAAATATCACTCATAATTTTAAAGTTCTAAAGACTGCTTTGCCACCTACCTCTTTGCTTATATTCAACGGTTTAGTGGGTCCTTTCACATTTGTGTAATAACTTTGGTTTTATTGGTACTCTTTTGCTACTTTAAAACTAATCAGGTTAAATGTTTACTCAAACTAGAGTAGAGTAATAGTATGAGGCCAAAATACATGCCTTGAGTGGAGTGAAATCAGTTGAGTATCACATTGCATATTTATGTAAATAGAGTAAATGAAAATTCAAGAATGCTTCTATTCAGGATATGCCCCTGCCTTATTTTTTCTAAGCTCTACTTTACTACTATTTTTTTTTTTTTGAGACGGAGTCTTGCTCTGTTGCCCAGGCTGGAGTGCAGTGGCACGATCTCAGCTCACTGCAACCTCTGCCTCCTGGGTTCAAGTGATTCTCCTGCCTCAGCCTCCCGAGTAGCTGGGACTACAGGTGCCCACCACCACGCCTGGCTAATTTTTTGTTTTTAGTAGAGAAGGGGTTTCACCGTGAGAGCCAGGATGGTCTCGATCTCCTGACCTCGTGATCCGCCCGCCTTGGCCTCCCAAAGTGCTGGCATTACAGGCATTGAGCCACCACGCCTGGCCTACTACTTTTAATAATTTTGGGTTTATATGACTTCATTGGTTGTTCATAATAGTTCTTACACTGCACTAAAACTGACTCTAAGTGGATCCCAGGAAGTTCTTTTCAGCAGCATTTGCAATGAGTTACCTTTCCCCCTGAAAAGTATGTCCCATACTGCTTACATACTGCTTACTAGCAAATAAAATTTTCTGATCTGTAAAAACACACATATACTACTACTGAAATATACTACTACTGAAAATGGCTTTACACATGACAAAACTAAACCTCTGATAGCTAACTCTGCATACTTTCTATACAGAAATGGTATGTATTATATGATTTTGGGTCTAAATCTGTATTTTGGCACTACTTAAATATTTCAAAGTATTATTTTATAATGGATTTAATTACTGACCTGTATGCAGTCATTTCTGAGGCTTTCTTGCATCATAGCCCCTGTGACACTTCCTCTTAGAAATATTATACTCTACAAAATTGTTTTATCAAGGTCCAAAATTACTATTTGCTCATAGAGCACAAAGATGTTATGACTGGCTACACAGAAAGGAAATAATGATATGTCAGTATAGCAGCTGAAATAAACAGTTTGTGTTAGACATTTTATTTACCTAATGAAAGCATTTAGGACTCAAATCTTTAGAGAACAAATATGTAAGAATGTAAACCATATCCTTTTAATTAATAAAATAACATTTACTTTAAAGAGAGGCATATTACCACTGTATATGACACCTGATATACATTGTCAGATACCACATAAACACATTTATCTTCCAATACCAATGTTTTATTAAAATAATAGGCTCAAGAGTAACCCTCAAGTTAATCCCATGACTGTCCCAGGCCCTGCAGCATAAAGAAATCATTGTGACAGGAAAATATCAACCACATACTAAAGCATAACTTGCTAGAACAAATCCTGTACATATGAATGCCAGCAACTGGGGACACATTTAATATTCATATTTTATGCAGACTTGTCAGTTATTTCCTTTTTAAGCCCAAGTTTCTTTTGGAATTCAGATAAGAACTGACACATCATAGATAGTCATTGTTCAAGGTAACCCAGTTATTTCAATTGCAAACAATAAACATTTTTTCTTCAAGACAGTTACTACTTTTTAAGATCTTAGTACTACCCTATGCAAAAACAATTTTTTAAAAAAGCCTGAACAGGTTAAGATGATAGCCAACTATGGAAACTATTCCAAAAGAACTGTACATTTCAGTGATATAAATCGGATCAAGAAAGGTGGATCTCAGTTTAGTTCTTGAAATATATTTCACAAAATAAGACCCTTGTTGTTCTACAGAGGTCCCCTAAACTGTCTTTTATTATGATGTAGTTTCTAAAACCTCATTAAGAGAGAGGGGAGAAAATTAATCTTACCAGAAATGCTCTGCTTTTTAGTAGCCATCAGTTTTAGGTCTTTTTATGTAACTCAGAAGTTCATCTTTTTCCATTTGGTAACCACTTTTTTTCCACTGTTCTCGCAACTGTTGTAATAGAGCCCCAATTTCTTTTCCTGAAGAAATGCCCACTTTTCTGATGTCATGGCCACTTACAGGAAATGGAGGAATGGACCACTGCTGCATTTCCTTTAGGAGACAGTGCTCTCCTTGGTACTTCAGTAGTTCACATACACGAGTAGTTGCATCAGGTTCCCTAGACTACATGTCAAAATCAAAATTTAGTTTCATCACACATGAAAACATACACTTAACAATCTTATCCTAAAATTTAAATACTCAAATTTTTTCCTTTAAAATAAGTAAAGTTCACAGAATTGTAGATCTTAGTTTGGATAAATTATAAATTAGTGACAATACTTCATATTTCTGACCAAGCCGAGTATATACTTACATCTATAATGAAGTCTTGATAGGGTTTCAATGGGTCTGAACTATCTGTTGCTTTAATTAAATCTTTCCTATTTTTAACTATAAATAAGCCAAGGTTTTTCTCTTCTTTTGCGATCTTCAACCTCAAATCCAATTTTGTGACATCATCTTGTACTTTGAATAATGAGGCCAAAAGTGTCATTGGCTTTGGTGAAAAACCTTCAACATTTTTACTGACTTTGTCAAATTCTTCTAGACTTGCATTAGCAGGTAAACCTGTAGGGATAAAAGCATTTTTCACCTGTTTTTAGTGGGGGAAGAAAACCACTCATATCCTAAACCTTGCCACTGTTTTAGTATACAGAAATGCTTTGTCACTAGGATACATCATATAGGTTCAGTCTGATGTTCCAACTTACAGGCAAACCACTCAATACATTATTGTTATTCTCTCCCCTATCACCTTCAAAACCTCTAAAATGTTGTCTCCATTAACAAGCTACATCAAGAGGTCCAGAGGTAGTGGTGATGGTAGTGTCAGACTCACAAGGCATATTCTTTCTAATCACAAATTCCTGACTTTCCACTGATACAACATCCACCACCCATTCAATAATGTTACTGAAATTTGAAATAATATACCCAAGCTTCCAGAAGTGTGATAAACCATATAATCCCACTGTTCTTTGTGAAAATGAATTACATTGACTGAACAATTTCTGTGTACAAGTTACTCTTCTAAAAGAGCTTTACATGTATTAACTCACTGAATCATTTAGCTTTTCTTTTAGACAGACGGTATATTACTTTTAAACCCCTTTTTTGGGTTAGAAACTAACCCAAGTTGCAAAGACTAGATAAGGGGCTGAGCTTCCTTCAAACCTAGATCTGACTCGAGACTACTCTACAAGCATCACAGGCTGTCTTTGAGCTGTTCCCTACTCACGACAAAACGTACCCACCCCATAACCAAAACTTGGTCTTATTTTAAAGTACTCCATTTCTTCATCAAGAATTCAACCAAATGAGTCAAACATTTTTTCCTTATGAAATTTGAAACCAGATATTTCAGTGCCAAAAATTCAAATACTTTATAACTTGCTCTCACCTATATAAGGAGCCACATCAAGATCATAGATAAGGTGAATCAAATGATTTACATGGTTACCAACAAGAATTTTTTTCAGTTCCACCCAAATTCTCTCTCCTGATATTCCAGCCAAGCCTTTTGCATTTTCTGCAATTGCTTCCAAAGTCTCAGCATCGTGGTCACCAGGTTTGTCTACAATTCTCCCATAAAATCTACAAGACAAAATCTTCACAGGGTATTACCTCTATATTGGCATGTCACAAGAAAAATCTGTTTTTCATTTTTATTGATACTATCCCATACATCTACTGGTATTTTAGTAGAAAGCAACTGGTCATTTCTCCACCTCCTCTTTCTTTTCCCAGATAAGAAAACCCTACATCTAATAAAGTATAAGTAGCCTTTCTGAGGTTAGCAAGAACTAGAACCTCAAGGTCTCAACCTCACTTCCAAATCATTGACTTAAGACGTTCAGAATGGTCATCAAATGCAATTTCTGAATTGGCACTTGCAGTAGATGAAAAAAAAATAGCATTCTTGTAAAGGGAGCAAACCAAAACAAGACTGTAGTGCCTTAACAGAGTAGTCTTAATTCCTCAAAACTTGCCTGTCTGTACACATTAATACTTTCAATGAAAACCTTCAAATATGACTAATCTAGTTGCACACCTTGGAGTATATTTCATGGAATCTTGGCACTGGAAGCCCTAACGTACATGTGTTTTACCACTCATATCCTTAAAATTCTAATGAACACCCTCTATTCATCAGTGGTCCAAAGTTAATGCTAAATAAGTAAATTAATGCTAAATTTGGATTAGTGATCCAAATACAGCTAAGTCTTAATCTATGTTCTATTATTTGTAAGAGAGACTACAGATAGTCAAGTTTAAAAAAACTACATTTATTGACAAAATATGATCTGTTATAGAATATTCTGAGAGCAGTCCCAACCAGTGAAAAATGAGTATTACTTGACATCAACTAGCCAATTCGGATAGTTTTTAAAAAAGGTTAGTGTGTGACATTTAAAAATCACTGCTACTCACAAAACTAGTCGTGCATTTCATATTTACCAACTTTATCCAAGTTTTTCTTTTTTTTTTTTTTGAGATGGAGTCTTGCTGTCGCCCAGGCTGGAGTGCAGTGGCGCGATCTTGGCTCACTGCAAGCTCCACCTCCCGGGTTCATGCCATTCTCCTGCCTCAGCCTCCCGAGTAGCAGGGACTACAGGTGCCTGCCACCATGCCTGGCTAATTTTTTGTATTTTTAGTAGAGACTGGGTTTCACCGTGTTAGCCAGGATGGTCTCAATCTCCTGATCTCATGATCAACCTGCCTCAGCCTCCCAAAGTGCTGGGATTACAGGCGTGAGTCACCGCACCCGGCCCATCCGAGTTTTGAGTATGTCTTTATACTTTGATATGTTTAATCATATAACAGGTATTTCTTTTCAGCAAAATCATTTTGTTGTGAACTATCACCCGATTTCCACGACCACCTAAAACCATAAGCTGTATGAAGGCGAACACTTCCACTCATTCATTACCATGTTTAATACACCTAACAGAGGGATTGACCTGTGGTAAGCATTCAAACATCTGTGTAACTAATGGATCAATGAAGGAAATATCAATCAAAAAGAAAAATGGGCATTTAAAAAAATGACTTAAACCAGAATTACAGGAAAGATCACATAAAGTATATGTGCTTTCTGGGAATGAAAATACAATATGAAGTAGCTAAGTAATTTTCACTCATAAGGCATAGGATGCTAGGTCTCCACTGGAGACAGACATCTGGGATGTCACCATTTTGTACACTGACCTGCTGTGGGTTTCATATGACTAGTGTTACGCTCTAGTGATTATATTAAAACTAGCACTTTTTATTTTTAAAAATTCTTACCTGAAGTATCTTAAAATTCTAAGATAATCCTCTTGTATTCTCTGTTTAGCATGTCCAACAAATCTAACTTTCTTATTTTTTAAATCTTCATAACCATCAAAGTAGTCAAATAAAGTGCCATCGAAACCTATTCATTAGAAGAGAGAAAAATCACTGTTGGCAAATAAGAATTTGAAAACACAAGAAAATCAGCTAAGCACTATCACAAACAGTAAAAATTCAGCAGGGTGAAGAGTTATTAAAACACAGGTATTCATATATATCAGCTATCAAATGGAAGACAATAAAAGACAGTCTTTTTGTTTGTTTAGTTGCATTTACAATTGCAACTAAAAAGGTAATTCAAGAATAACCTAAACAAGAAATATGCAAAATTTGTATGAGGTGGAGTGGAGCCAACAAGACACCATACAAGCTAATTTTCACAATATGGGAAAATAAACAATAGCCAAAATAAAATGGAAAAAATACATAACAGGATTAACAGAAGAAACGAAAATATTTCATAATCTTGGAATGGGGAAGATCTTTCAAACTCTACTTAGCAAGAAAACAGAAAACAAAACACAAAACAACAGGATTTTCGAAGAAATAATTGAATGACATAAACAATCAAAAATGCCTGTATGGCAGAAACTACTGTCACACAGAAAGTTATAAGTGACATCTTTGGAAAAATACATGTAAGCCCATATTAAAAAACATGGCTAATTTCCGTAATATATAAAAATTATTCTAAATAAGGCCACATAAATAGAAAAATAGGCTACATATAAAGGAAATATAGAAATCTCTTTAATAATGAAGATTTTCAACCTTAGTCATAAATTCATTTTTTGTTCTTTGAGGCAGATTCTCACTTTGTCACCCTGGCTGCAGTGCAGTTGGTGCAATCTCAGCTCACTGCAGCCTCCCAGGTTCAGGTGATTCTCCTGCTTCAGCCTCCCAAGTAGACCTGCCACTACGCACAGCTAATTTTTATAGTTTTAGTAGAGACAAGGTTTTGGCATATGGGCCAGGCTAGTCTCGAACTCCTGACATCAAGTGATCCGCCTGCCTCAGCCTCCCAGAGTGCTAGGGTTACAGGCATAAGCCACCATGCCCGGCCAGTAAACACACATTTTCGAGATAGCATTTTTCAGATCGGCAATGATGCAAACATTTGATAACAGTGTTAGCAAGGGTGTGGTAAAAACGGGCAGTCCTGTTCGTTACAGATCAGGAGACTTCACTACAGAGCCTTTAAAACTTTGTGAATTTTGAACCATGTTAATCTATTAGCCATTCACAAAAATGGTAATAAACAAATTCATATGTCAAACCAAAAAAGAAAAAGCAACATAAAATAATTTTATATATATGTACATAAAACCTTAAGTATTAATTAGTAGAGTGACCACTTCATACTGGTTTGCCTGAGACTTTCCTAGTTTTAAAGCTGAAAATCACACATCCAAGGAAATATTTCAAACTCAGACAAACTAAGACAGTTGGTTACCATGGAGACTTAAGAAAAAGAAAAAGGAATTGAGAGCCGAAACACAGACACCATTCAGCTAACCAAATGGGGAGGTCAGTGATCCTATGAGATACTTCACTCTGTAGCATTACAGAAAAGAGGCACTGACAACTACTTGTCAAAAATACCTCTTGGTTGTGTTTGAACTTGAATGCTCTTTGATTATCCCAAAAGCAACAGTATATTGGTAAGTTCACACTTAATGCTTAACTCTTCCCAAGCTGTTAAAAGTTTTATATGCATAGTAACTTTTAAAAGGGAACCATCTTGACGTATATGGCAAATTTCGAAGGCTCCAGATTCAAAAAGACATAAAAGAAAATGAAGATAAAAAAAAATGTAAATAAACAGACAAAAATATGATAACAAAGTAGCAAATATGGTATATCCATCTCAGTGTTATTTCTCCTAATGAAGAGACTTGTAACTCTCCCTGGGGAACCTAAAGGCAAGATCAAAATTTGGAGGAAAAAAAATCACAGGAATATGATCAAAGCAAAAATAAGGGTTTGGGAAGCAAAATAACCAACCCATAAATGCCAGAACTATGAATGCTTGATCCAATAAGGCTTGGAAAAAGCCAGGATAGAAAACTACACAAAGCTTAGTAAGCATCATATTGGTGTGTATTTTGTTTTGCTCTGAATATCATCCTTTTAAAATACAGTAAATAAAAATATGAAATACAGCTGAGTTGCAGGGAATAATGTAGTGGTTAAGAATGTGACCTCTGGAGTCAGGCTGCCTGAGTTGGAATTCCGATCCTACACTTTACAAGTTGTGCAACTTTGGGCAAGTTACCATCGGTTAAATAGCAGTATCTGCTTTGCAGGGTTGTCAGGAGATTGTATATAACGTGCTTAGAACAGTGCCTGGTACGTTATAAGGGTTCAGTAAACGTCAGAAAATGATAGTTCCAATAAGAACAGCTTTTATTTTATAAACTAGGACACTGAAAAAGAATGTTGGTTTCTCTCTTTCAGTATGCTTATGAGAAGTCAGTTAGACAAGACTCTCTATATTGCACTACTTGGAGCAGTTTCTTCTATGAGTAAATATGAGAATAAATAAATACCTGGAGCTCTGACTATATTAATTGAGAGAAAACGCACCAATTGGGCTCTCTATGGTCATATATTGCCTAGGCTTTGCAAACAAGCCAAAATAATGGTTCTCTATGACTTAAACTAAGTTACTTAGTATCTCTCAGTCTCAAGTTTCCTCTTCTATCAAGTGGGCTTAACACACTTTATGAAGTTTTTCTGCGAGTTTAATGAAATAAAGTATATCAGGTACCCAGTGTTGTACCCAGAACCCAGTAGGTACCCTAGAAATTGTATCTGCCATTACTGTAATCAGCAAGAGATCCCACCTTAGCTTATAAACTTCTTGCCCATCCATGCATGAAGCAAATCCTATTACTTCATCCTTTTACCACTATTGTTGCTACAAACTAGGTTATGAATAGCAGATGTTTCATCCTTTTTTAATCCAAAATCTTAAACATAAAGGGCTTGTCTTAACTTTAAAGTACAACATATGATGCATCAGTAACGTATCAAAACACTAACCTAATTCATATCTACCCCCCATATAATTCCCAGTGCTTTCATTAAACATAAAAGTTAAGCTGAAATAAATAGGTTTCATCTTACATACTGACTCTGATTATTGATGACTGCTAGAAAACAATGCTAAAAAAGAATCTGAGGTTGTGTGTAGGCTCAGCAGTAAAAAAAGGTGCTGAAGTCATTCACCATTGTTTGCCAGGGAAGCAGAAGAAAGAGTGAATACACATGCATGAAAAGTAGTGCAAAGGAAAAAGAATGATCCTGGGTGTGTGTGTGGAGTGTGTACATGTACCGTGTGTGCATTTTCCTTCCCTGAAATGTTAATGTTGTTCAGATGCAGTTAAGAAGTTAGCACTGACTGAATGTGTACATGTGTCAGGCACTGTTCTGAGCATTTATAATTATTAACTCTTAAACCTCACAACGGCTGTACAAAGGAAGCCAATATTAATTAACGTTTTTGTTTTGTGGCTAGTGAGTGATGGAGTCAGAATCTGACCCCAAGGATTTTGGCTCCAGAGTCTTTTTTTTTTTTTTTTTTGAGACGGAGTCTCGCTCTATCACCCAGGCTGGAGTGCAGTGGTGTGATCTTGGATCACTGCAAGCTCCACCTCCCAGGTTCACGCTATTCTCCTGCCTCAGCCTCCCGAGTAGCTGGCACTACAGGCTCCCACCACCACGCCCGGCTAATTTTTTGTAGTTTTAGTAGAGACGGGGTTTCACCATGTTAACCAGGATGGTCTCAATCTCCTGACCTCATGATCTGCCCGCCTCAGCCTCCCAAAGTGCTGGGATTACAGGCGTTGAGCCACCGCACCTGGCCCAGAGTCTATTCTTTTAAGCAATCTGCTAAACCATCTCTTAGAAGAAATTAACGCGAATTCTGAAGTTGAATAACGTTTCCAGAATGTAGGTTTTACTTGAAAAGAAGGCATTCTGATAGACTCAAAATATGGTTTTATCTGCAAGTATTACCTAAAAACATAGAATTTATAGTGAGATCTCTGCGTTCCGCATCTTTCTGCCAGTCAGTTGTAAATTCTACCTCAGCATGTCTTCCATCAGTGGTGACATCAATCCGTAGTGTAGTAATCTCAAAATTTTCTTCATGAAGCTGCAATTAAATACATGGTGTTTTTGTTGTCATTTAAATTCAGTTTCCATACTACTGAATTGAAAAACAATAAGTTTTTGTCTTTATAAACAGATGGTACTATAAGCCCTGACAGTTATAGTCTTTTTAACATCAACTACCATATCTAAACATTGAAAAAGAAAGATATCCATGTCATTCAAAAACAGATCCAAAGACTGATTTTTTTTTTAAATATCCATCATGATTAAAAAAGATGAGTTTAACATACAAACATGTCACCTCTGCCAGGTGATGTGGAGAAACCCTCAAAAATGTTCTTCAATTTCAAATCAAGCTATTATCTGAAATACTTTTAATAGCTCCTGTTTGCAAAGAGGTGAATGTCAATTTATGGAACATATGCCATTAAGCAAAAGACTGATAAACAGTAAGTACAGTTAACAGATCCTGTAACTCCCTTACTGATAATTCCCAGGGAAATTAAAATAAAGGCCGGGGTGGTGGCTCATGCCTGTAATCCCAGGATTTTGGAGGCCAAGGCAAGTGGATGACTTGAGCTCAGGAGTTCAAGACGAGCCTAGACAAGATGGTGAAACCCCGTCTCTACCAAACATACAAAGAAAAACAGCCAGGTGTGGTGGTGCATGCCTGTGGTCCTAGCTACCTGGGAGGCTAAGGTGGAAGGATCGCTAGAGCCCGGGAGGCAGAGGCTGCAGTGAGCCGAGATCACACTGTGCACTCCAGCCTGCACAACACAGTGAGGCCCTGTCTCAAAAGAGAAAGAAATAAATTAACATAAAGAGTTACCTCTATCATAGGAAGACAGACTACCTCCAGCTGGGGAAGCTGTGTAACTTCGTGATAGGGTGGCATCTGTGCCAAGCCTTGAAAAAGCAGCAGGGTTTGTACATGCAGGTGTGGCAGGAAAATTTCAAATGAAGAGAAAAGATGACCAAAGGCATGGTGGAGAAAGAGGAATATATGTAAAAGAGAAAGTATATTTGACAGACAGCATATTAGCATTTAGGAGTAGAGAATAAAGTGTTTTATGTGCCAAGAGTTAAGAATGTCTTCATTTAGGAAGTGAAAGCCATTCATGATCACCAGAAGTCTGTTGTAAGATTTCTCTCAATTTCATACATACTCTTCTCTAGATACAAGCTACATCTATCTCTCACTATAGAATTCCAGAACTCAAGAATTTGAGGCACACGTATCTCTGAAGGCAAAGAATACGGTAAGGTTTGAAATAGGAAAACTGTTTGAAACTCATTTTAAGAAATAATCAGACCCACCTAGAATGACTCCCTTAACGAGGCCGAAAACCAAGGATTGACCCTCTAGAAAGGTTGAACCAAAAATAATCAGAACTTGTTTCACCAGGCACAGATGCTCATAGGAATGAAGCATCATAATGAAAACAAAATTAAAGTGAAAATTAACATGACCCTCATCCCTTTCCCTACTTGGTTTCAAGATGCTAACAATCAGGCTCATTCCCTGGCATAATACTGGAGTATTCTTCTCTGATTTCTCCTAATGAAAACTCCTACTGAGACTTACACTGGGAGTCCCAACTGGCTGACACTTCCCATGCAAAACTACAATAAAGCCCTCAAGTATACAGCATCACCCAAATATAAAGGCAGAGCCAAAGAATACCCATATTTAAAGAAAGCCAACATGAAAGAAAAAACTCAGAAGAAACAAAGACATTGTCAAAATAACTATAGTAGATATCCTAAGAGAAATAAAAGATCTTGCATCTGAAACATGAACAGGAAGCTTTCCAAAGAAATATACTAAGAAAGACCTCTTGAAATTCTACAAGACCACAGAACTTGCTAGTATTATACAATGACTGGGAGACGAAGTTAAGGCACTCTCATAGAAAGTAAAAGACAAGAGAACGTAAAATAAAGACAAAACAAAAAACTAGAAGGTCAGTCCCAGCAATCCAGCATCCAAATAATAGGAGTTTCCAAAGGAAAAAACATTTAACAAAAGGGATGAAATTATGAAAGAAACATAAGAAGGCCCACTAAGTGGCCTGCACAATAAGTGAAAATTATCCAAAACAAGTTATATCATCTTGAAATTAAAAACATTAGACATAAAAAGATCAGAAAGACTTCCAAAAGGAAATAATGGCAGTCAGGTTTTTAAACAAAAGAGAACTCTAAATGGAACTAGACTTAGTGGCAGTACTGGAAGCTAGAAAACAATACCTTTAAATTTCCGAGTAAAAATTATTCCCAGTCTAGAATTCTGTAATCATAACTATCAAACCAGTGTGGAGGTAAAATAAACACATTTTCAGACGTGTAAGGCTTCCTCAGGTATTGGATTATTAAAATGAGGGCTTAAGCCAAGAGAGAACAGCACATGGGACCCAGGAAACAGGAGATCTAACAAAATAGAGAGGCCAAGGAAATTCCTAAAAGTCCATATTGGAGCAGGAAGACAGCACCAGGTAAGATGTTTCTCAAAAACGCAACTGAAACTTGATGTAATGTGTTTAAATCTTTTGAGAGGAACTCTACAGTTCTGGCAGAGTGCAGGAATAAATTAGTGGTACATGGAAAGCTATGTAAAAGAAAAATGCTATTAACTGCAGGAAAATTAAAAACCATGCCAATAGATGAAATGTAATCACAATATACTCCACAATCTGGCTGTAAACAATACAGAGTCGTAAACGTGAACCCTGAATATTGACTTAACCAAAAATTATGATATAAATATACTAGGAAGATAGAAGTAGGAGAATTACATGTGCTTGTTGTTGAGAAGGGTGTGGTAAGAAAGCTAAATCATCTTTCCTCATGGAAAGTCAGTACATAACACATCTTAAAACTGCGATAGTAAAAACTAAAAAGTAAACACCATAGTATACAAAGGTCTTTTTAGAAATGGAGAAATAACATAAAACTTAAACATGACTGCAAGAACAGAGGACTGCAGGGTTTCAGACAGGGGTAGAAGAGACTGACTTTTCGTTATTTGCTCTTAACTAGAGAAAATTATTAAGTTCTTAAAAATTACCAAAAAAGCAATGTAATTAACTGTTAAACTTTTGACTCACCCTGGCAGTAATTGTTCCGTGCTTTTCTCCTTTGTTGTTTATCATCCGAATCCCAGCCGACTGAAACATCTCCTTCATTTGAGTAGGGGTAGCAGTAGTGGCAAAATCTACATCCTGAGGCTTTACTCCATTTAACAAATCCCTCACTGCTCCTCCTGCTATTCTTAATTCGTGATTCTCTTTGACAAATAATTCTGAGATAAGAGAAAAAAAGATTTTTATTCCCAAGTTCTTTATTTCAATGTGTTTAACCACAAAGTACGAGGCTTTTCCATCTAGTTGGAACAGCAGAGATTCATTTAACTGAGGCTTTTCTTAGGAAAAATGAGAACAAGGCCCAAAGAAGTAAAAAGACTTGTCTTCAGGAGAGTGCCTCTGAGAACCAACGGGAAACAGGGAACTTGCAGAATTTTCCTTTGCTTATTCAGAAGATAATTCAGAATTCCACAATGCCTCAAAGTGATCAATACAAATTTGAAGTATTACTAAAGACTAAAGCAGGTTAGGCGCAGTGGCTCACACCTGTAATCCTGATACTTTGGAAGGCTGAGGCGAAAAGATCACTTGAGCCCAGGAATTAAAGATCAGCCTGGGCAAACAGCAAAAACTCTAACTCTACAAAAAATAAAAATAGCCAGGTTCAATGGCGCACACCTGTAGTCCCAGCTACTTGGGAGGCTGAGGTGGGAGGATGGCTTGAGCCCTGGAGTTCAAGGCTGCGGTGAGCTATGATCGTGCTACTGCACTCCAGCCTGGGTGACACAGCAAGACCTTATCTCAAAAAAAAAAAAAGAAAAAAGTAAATCAAACAATTCTACTTTCTTTTCCCCATTTATGTGCATACTTTAGAAATGGTAACATGTTCTTTTATTTCTCTGTGTGTATAAATAGATGTTGAGGCAGGATGTTCATGCATCAAACTATCAGACAACATTAGTCTATACCACTTATGATAAATGTTTATAGCTAAAAGTCCTTCAAGAAATGATCTGTATATAATTCTAAAATCAACTCCTATCTGTGCTCTAGGTAGAACTGTTTGGACACTGAACAACTACAAGCAAGTATATAGCTGACTCCTCTATATGTACAGGATAAGGCAAAATCCACTATAACTATATCCATATGCCCACATGGAACCTAGTGAGAATGGCATCCAGGAGCTGGCCTGTCACAATATTAGGTCCTGGGGTCCTGTGGAACAGAAACAATTTCACAAAACATCAATATCTAGACAAGCCCATTCTGTGCCATGATGGATCGATCAAGACAACTCTGTAATCACCTAAACATACACAAAACATGAACACTGTCCATGATACACCCTACAATAGTTGGTAACAGTGACTGTGCCTTACCAATTAGGTTTAGTCTCACAACTGTACTCAACTTCTAGGAAAGCATTATTAAGACACCCAATCAGATAATTACTTCTGCTTCCTGAGAGCATCTAACCCACTGCAAAGCTCTACTACCTTAAATGCTTTCCAAAATGACCCAATACAAGCCCAACTCCTATAAGAAGTCATTTCTAAAGCCCTCTTACTGAGTATACCTCTGGGTTCTCCAGGGTCAGCATGCTACTCCTCACCCAGCATGTTGCTCCTCACTGCCAGGAGTAACAACCCAACTTGTGTCCCTGTTGGTCTTTGGCTAGTGGGCAGTGACACGAGCATTCAAATACTCATCATACATCAAAGTTCCAGCACCTCTAATCACAACTCAGAACATAATCCTCCGTCCCTACCTCAACGTCTTCTGTTCTCTATCCTGCCCACACTCCTCTTCTACCTATTCTTCCCACATCTTTCAGCCCCATTCTCTGTAGACTCCTTAAAATGATTTGCTTAAAAATAACAAATGCGGGGGCGTGCCCAAGATGGCCAAATAGGAACAGCTCCAGACTCCAGCTCCCAGCGTGAGTGACACAGAAGATGGGTGATTTCTGCATTTTCAACTGAGGTGCAGACCGACACCTCACACCTCACACGGCAGGGTACACCCCTGAGACGAAGCTTCCAGAGCAAGAATCAGACAGCAACACTCGCTGTGCAGCAATATTCTATCTTCTGCAGCCTCTGCTGCTGATACCCCAGCAAACAGCATCTGGAGTAGACCTCAAGCAAACTCCAACAGACCTACAGCTGAGGGTCCTGACTGTTAGAAGGAAAACTAACAAACAGAAAGGACACCCACACCAAAACCCCATCAGTACGTCACCATCATCAAAGACCAAAGGCAGATAAAACCACAAAGATGGGGAAAAAGCAGTGCAGAAAAGCTGGATATTCAAAAAATCAGAGCGCATCTCCCCCTCCAAAGGAACACAGCTCATCGCCAGCAGAGTAACAAAGCTGGACGGAGAATGACTTTGATGAGTTGAGACAAGAAGGCTTCAGTCGATCAAACTTCTCAGAGCTAAAGGAGGAACTATCAACACTATACCACAAAAGCCCCCTACAGTAACCAAAACAGCCAGTGGTACTGGATACCAAAACAGAGATATGGACCAATGGAACAGAACCGAGACCTCCAGAAATAAGTACACGACATCCTAGCCCATCGTCTTTTGACAAAGCTGACAAAACAGAGAAATGCCGGAAAGGATTCCTATTTTAAATAAATTGTGGCTGGGAAAATTGGCTAGTCATAAGTAGAAAGGCTGAACGGAACTCCTTGCTCCTACTCCTTATACGAAAAATTAATCAAATATTAAGACTTAATGTTAGACACTAAAACCATAAAAACCCTAGAAGAAAACCTAGGTTACCATTCGGAATAGGTAAGTGGGGCAAGGACTTTCAATGTCTAAAACACCAAAAG